CGTGCAGCAGGTACATGTGACGCTTCGGAGAAAGCGTTGACGTCTTTCAGTTTGCCTCGGCTACCAGAACCGCAATTCGAGTCTGTAGCCTTTAGTTTGGTTGTAAAGGCCCAAGCGTGTCTGCCATCTCGCTGGCATATTTCGCCCCTACCCCCAGCCCTTTTCAGGCGCATCCCTCACCTCCCTCGCCAACCTCCTCCCCTTGCTCCAACCAACATCAGTCTGGAAACTCTACAGTTCTGCCTTGTGAGACTGACTGGGTGACACAGGATGTTTCGTATGTGGCCAAGTCGACTATGAACTTAAAGAAAGTGGTCACAATTTCCGAATGTGACGGCCTTGAAATATTTGTCAGCAGATAAATGTTCAGGTGAATTAACATGAAGACAGCCTCAGCCGTATAAAAGGATCAACAAACAACTTTATTCGGCTATTTGCGTGTGTAGACAATAAGAAGACGAGATAAACTATCGCTAAAGTGGAAACGATGTAAATAGAGTGTGTCTATTTGTGCCTGTGTGCATATGCCGTCGGATGAAGGCATTCGTACATCTACTAGTCTATGAATGCGAATGTATGTTTATGCATGTATATATATATATATATATATATATATGTGTGTGTGTGTGTGTGTGTGTGTGTGTTTGTCCCCAAGGGAGAGAGGAAGCGAAATCCGTAATATTTAGACACTGGAGATTGGAGAGAGTTGAATAGAAATAAATAGGTACTCTCGAAAAGTCATTCGGCTTGCCCTGCTGATAACTGAATCTGCGTCCAACGGCAATCGGTTAACTGCACTCAAGAGTTGACAAATTAACAAATGCACTTGTGGTTAAAGTCAGCACACTTCGGTTGCAGAGACCCGATGAGCATCAAGTGTCTGGAGAGGGGCGAGTTGTGGCCACAACGTTGGGGCGAGCGTACAGCAGAGCTGTAGCGTGCTGGACGTGCCGCTTACGCCACCTCAAGACAAGCAGACACAAGTTTGCCGTCTGGCAAGCGAGTCTGAACAGACATGCCTCGGGCCGAAGAGGAGAGGCGTAGAGACACAAGGGCACATCGACTTGGCAACAAGTTGAGAGATGGATTTTTCACTAATGCTCCTCGTCTAAGGCAGATTTAGCAACAGCTCGCTTCAGATAAGAAGCGAGTAACTGACTGTAGTGACTACTAAAGTCCAGCACTGCTTGTCATTCCACTGTTCCGCCCTTTTAGACATTCGTTTTTACCTCCCTTCCAGTACTTATAGATTGGCTTTTTTGAGTCTGTTTGTGGATCCTTAAGGCGAAAACAGGAGTGGGGGAGAAGAAGCGAATAGCCTCAACGGCAATATGCAGTTAGAAAAACCAATCACGACAATAAAGGGGCTGGAGACTCGAGGTGGTGTGTGCATGTGTACATGAGTGTCTACAATTGATGGGGTGTGGCAGCCGTCTCAGACTCTTCGCGAACCTCTTCATGCTTGAATTTGTTTCTCTCAGCCATTTGGCCTTTGCTCTCCCAAACGCAGAACTATCTCAAACACCGCAAGACAGTGGGTGGTGGTGACCAGTGAGAAAGAGAGAAAGAGCCAGAGAGAGTGAGCATCTGCTTCCAACCCTGGACCAGATCTCAAGAATCAGACTGCCCTCCTGGCATCAAGGGACGACAGGGAAGACGACAAGCAGAGCTAAAATGAGGAGAATTAGCCGAATGCGAGATAAAGCCGCTTGGCGTTGCTGTGCCGGTTCCTCGAGCCTTCCAAACTAAAGCTTAAAGACAACCCTAAACTTTTGGCACTAAACTCTGTAAACAGCCAACACTGCCAAAGGCAAACGCAACATTTTGAGGCAAACAATAAACAAGATGCAGAGAAAAACGTGTGCTTGTATGCTGTAGACGGTTGATTGGGAGAATTTCATTTGGAAGGAAGATGGATGATGAAGAGATTCGTTGGTTGATCTCACCGAAAGACGACGGCCGATTCCTGTTTTACTGCCACCG